ACTTTGCCAGCTGCAGAGCATCATATAAAGCTAAGATGTTATAATGTGAGGCTGCTTGCGTATGACAAGGACGTTCGGAGTCAGAAATACCTCATGCTGAACAAATCTTTGCTTTTTTTCTAAATCAATGGTTCTCAACCCAGCTGTATAGAGGGGAACTTTAAAATATGCTAATGTGTGGGCCCCACCACCATTGACTCTGATGTCATTTGGTATAGGGGATGGCCTGGGCATCAGGATTTCTAAAAACTCCCAGGTGGCTGTAATATATCGCCAAGGTTGAGAAACAATTGCAGAGTAAGGATTTTTGGATGCGTGGTTCCTGCCTGCACCCTGAGCTGCTTGTATGGATTAAAAGCAGACCTCCTAAGGCTTCACTGGACCCAGCATAGGAAGTGAATCACCGGAATAGGAGCAGATTACATGTGAGTCCTGGATGTGTCACCTTTAAGCTGTGTGACTTTGGGCAATTAATGACTTTGCTGATAATAACAACAATATTAGAGCTAGCATATATTGTGCACTGACTAGACTTGCTAAACATGTCTAGACCCCAATAACAACCCAAAATAGACGTTATTATCCAATCTTACAGCAGAGGAAACTGAGGCTTAACCATATTCAGTGACTTACCCACATTTTTCCTTATTTACAAAATGGATATCACAATAATCTGTCATACATTATGATCAGATGAAATGACATGCACAAAAATTCTTTGTAAATTAAATCACTGTACATGTGTGTAAATTCAGCAAACACATAGTGGTATGGGAAAAACATGACATTTAGCTTCAGACAGACTTGGGTTTCTATCCTAGTTCTTTCCACTTAAGACCATTGCAACCTTAAGCAGTTTACTTACTATGTTTTTAAAATGATATAATGGGGATAATAATACTTTTGTAGGATTGTTGTGGATTACAGGTAATAAAAAACAAAGCATAGTGCCTGGCATTACAGCTCAATAAAAGCAACTAGTGTCATTTCTAACTGTTTGCATCTCTGTAAGAGCAGGTAGTTCCTGTTCCCAAAATTAAGATTAATAGCTATTGAATCTGAAACTGAAATTTTGTCTTTGTTGTTAGTATTACTGGAGTACTGTTTTTCATATATTGCATTTTGGATTTTGAATAATTAAGATTGGACTTTTGGCTTTGTATGTACTCCATCTAAAGACCTTTCGATCTTTCTCTACAGTTAAATAGAGCCTACTATCCTAATCAGTAAGAAGAGGACTGATGGTGCATCTCCGCCTTCAGGCAGCAGAGCCTGGAAAGTCAGTTCCCCTTGGCCACCATAATCCTTATCTTTCTGGTCAGAGCATCCACTAGGAGCTTCAGGATTTACATAAAAATTCGCAGACCCCAAGTCTCAGCCTCATTCTGAGAAAGACGATTCAAACTAGTATGTCTAGCAGGGAAATCTGAGCCCTTTCCCCATTCCTTGCTCCTTTAAAAAAATGAAACAAGCTGTTACACCATTTCAACCAACTGAGGCAAATTACCTCACTAAAAAATAGAAAAAGGGTTAGAAGCCAAAAGGTCAACGCTGTAGCGTAAACTAGCCATTAGACAAGCAACTGTCCCTTTATGTGTGCTATGGGGTGGGTGGCTCACCCTAGCACTCCTGGGTGCTCATTTAAATAACGTTACTAATAATTGTCACTCCAATAAACTTTAATATGCAATAAATAAATAAATAAATGAATAAATAAATAATATTTTCTAGCATATATGTCAAAAGAGAAGAACAAGGAAACTGGTGTGCACATACTCCTGCTTAAAGCGCCCCCATGAGACGCTGTTACTAGCAAGTGTGTCATGACATTCGCACAACTCCCATGCTCCTTTGGCTCCATTTCATCACCAAATATCTGTTTAATACTTATTATAATCACAACTCTTGAAGGATACAGATGCCATGTAGGATGTAATCCCTGTGCTCAAGGAGTGTGTAATTTATTTGGAAAGACAAGAGTTTGCATAGATTACAGTTCAAAATCAGTATGTAATTAAATGTTTGCTTCTGTAGTACAAATCAGGTAGAAGTTGTGTTTGAGTTGTTATGAATGTGAGATCAATGTGAGACAGGGTGACTTAAGAAGTCTTTGTAGAGTTGGTAAAATGTGAGGTGGATTTCAAAGAATGGAGATACTTTGGTAACAGGGAGGGCAAAAATATTCTAGATGACAGGAATTTTACATATCCTACAATGACAGCAGTTCTCAACCTGTGGGTTGTGACCCCTTTGGGAGTCAAATGACCCTTTCACAGGGGTCGCCTAAGACCATCGGAAAACACATATTTTCGATGGTCTTAGGAACCGAGACACTGCTCCTCTATCCGTCTCCATGCTTTAAGACAAAATTTCATTTATTTGTAATTAGAAATAAATATTTCACAATATATAATTACATATTGTTTTTGTGATTAATCACTATGCTTTAATTATGTTCAATT